AGGTCCTGGGTTCAATCCCAGCACCTCCTCTAACATAACAAACCTAATCATCTCTCCTCCCCCGCCAAAATAAAATAATTAACTAATACAGTAACAAATTTTTTTAAAAAATAGCTTTTAGTGGGAGGGTATAGCTCAAGTGGCTGAATGCATGCTTAGCATGCATGAGGTCCTGCGTTCAATCGCCAGTACCTCCTCTAAGAAAAATAAATACACCTAATTACCTCCCGTACCCAAAAAAAAGAAAAGAAAATAGCTTTTAAGGGAACATATGACCTTAGAGATCTGCTTACTTGGATTTTTTTTTTAATTGAAATATTGCTTGTGTGGATTATTATGCTTCCTTTTTTTCACTACTTCCCATTCTCTCTTGGGATCAGGAATGTATAAACTTGGCCTTGGAACATGATGTGGGCCTTGAAAAGCAGGAGTTGGGAGGCCGGGGCCACCAGCACGTCATAGACAAGTGATGCTGAGAGGCGGTCCAGCAGGGACCCCGAGAGGAGACGCCACCTCAGTGGCAGGGGAACGATGCGGGGTGGGGGTGGGGAGCTGTACTTCTCCCTGGCCCTCACTCTCGTCCCCGTGGGACCCTCAGTGACCGCCCTCCCCAAGTAGGGCCTCTGATGCCCGCAGCCAAACCAGCACCCAGTCTGTTCTCTCAGTGCACCCATGACCCTACCTTTCCCAGCTCTATTTCAGTTGTTTCTGCACTTCCCTCAGACCTGTTTGCCTACCTACCCTCCAGAAAAAGGCTGAGAGGGGAAACATGGTACCATGCCCGAGTGGCAGACTGAGGGGTGCAGAACCCGGGCTGGGCCAGGTGGGGAGAGCAAGGCCTCCCCGTTCTACCGCACGGCGCCACCCTGCCCCTTCCTCACTGATGGAAATAGCCGGAGATGTCTCTCTCCCAGGGAATGCTGTCTCCCGGGCCTAAGGCAGCTTCATGGAAACATGGACGGAGGCCTGAGCCAGAGTTCAGGGGCCTGGTATTAGTCCAGCTCTGCCCCTAGCTCCCTTTGAGATCTTGAAAGGGCTCCTTTGAGCACCAGACCTCAGTTTCATCATCTGTAAAACCAGTGAGTTGGAGCAATTGGTCCCCAAAAGTCACTTCAGCTCAGTGTATGAAACCAACCAGCCCCACCCTCTGTGGCCTACAGCAGACAGCATTCCCACATACCCCAAAATAGAAGTCAGGAAATGGAAGTGTGCAGTGGGTACGCAGGCTGGGCTCAAGTTGGCTTCATTTGACCTTTATCTCTGGGGCCAGATTCTTATGACTCTTTACTGTTAACCACACCCTGTGAGTGGGGTCTCTCTGTGGAGGGGCGGTTCTTTGTTCCCTTGGCCCTCAGCCTTTTGTAGTAATGCTGCTTGGAGGTCAGAGCATCAGCTCTGGGTTCAACTTCCCCGTCGCTGGGCGGCTATGGGATAGCAGAGAGCATGGGTGTGATGCACTTAGCACAGTGGCCTAGTGCTGGGTGCAGCGTAAACGTCCAGCGGGAGCTGTTGTCTTTCGTCGTGTAGAGCAGATAGAGCAGGTGAAGGGGGAGGTGGCAGCTGTTCCCTAGAAGTGAGGAAGTTTAAACCAGACAGGTAGCCAGGCGCACACCCCGAGGCCCCACACATCCCTCCCTTCTCTTTCTCCTCCTGCACTGGTGCCAGCCTCCTGCCTCCACCCGCCTCTGTGATTTCCACATCTGGACATTGACACCATTTCATGTGCAGACACGTGTTTGACAGCAGGGTGGCCCCACTCCTGAAAGTAAAACTGTTTGGAGAGAAACCCTAGGACACTGGGATCCTGGGTCTGGGCAGGGTCTGGATGAGTGGAGTGGTGGTGGCAAAAGCCCCTCCCACCCAACCTGCTGCTTCACCTAGAAGCTGTTTGCCTTCAGTGCTGGGCTGAGCAAGCAGCTGGGGCTCTTGCATAAAATGGCTCCCACCTCTGGCACCCAGACAGCCGGGGCTCTGGGGGAGCTGCCTGTGATCGGACAGAGGCTGGCAGGTTTGGGGAGAGTGGAGGGGAGGCCAGGGGTCTGCATCTGCTAAGGAAAACAGGACTTCTCCCTGCCCGGAATCTTGATGGCTTTTCCCCCGACTTTGCCCTGCAGTGTTGTCTCCAGCAGATCTGACTCCTGATTTGGGGATGGGGAGGATTCCTCTGCACACATGCACACACACGTACACACACACATGTGCGTGCACACATACCCTACCCCCTTTTTTCCAAAGTGGCCCATGGCACTGTTGCAGACTTTACTCTTTGGTGCTCAAAGCAAGTAGCTACTGGTTAAGACTGAATCTGGAACTGCTTTGACAAGCAGCCCTTTTGAGGGCCATCCTCATCCTCTGTGAAGTGAGTCTGGTGACTTCAGACCACACAGATCAGTGACTTCATATCTTCCTGTCGTGTGGGATGCAAATCTTGCCTTTCACACACAAGGCTGTGTGTCCAGATTTGATTTGTCTGTTTCCTTGTTCTGTTCCATTTTATAAGAAGGTGTGGCTTTTGGAATTGGTCGCACAGTTTGGGACTTAACAAAAGCACCTCGTCTAAGAGCACAAGCCTTGATGGTCTTTCTTGGGTGCGTCTGGCTGTGAGGGTGAAGAACCCAAGGTCACAGGTGACAGTAGCTTCTCTGGTCTTTTGCCTCCACGGCTGCCTGTTCTAGAGAGACCGCTGGTTGGGGAGAAGAGAGTGAAGAAGTTTCAGGAAGCTGCATGTTTATGTTCTGTGTTCCTGCCTCCCCCAGGGAGGGGCCAGGGAGCTCTATTTGGACCCACCGTAGGTCCTTTCAACGAAAGATTTGCAGAAATGATCTTTCTCTCTTACCTACAGAACAGCGGTGATTTCACTGTTTGGGGCTTTAAAAATCTGGGGAAGAGCCTGTCAGATGCGTGTTCACCCAGAGACAGCGTTCGCAATGGAGGGAATCCAGGAGACCAAAAGGGCTAATCTCAACAATACATTTTTTTAATTTATGTTTTTAGTCTGACTGCAGATCACTTGCCTGTTTCATCCCATGGAAAAAGTCATGCTGGTCCACGGACATTTTCATTTTCCATCAAGTGATGGCAGGCAGCTGTGGAAAGCAGCATCCTGTCTCCAGATGAGATAATTTTATTATAATTGCATCCATCCAGTAATTCCTCCCCGCCACCAAAAAAATACTTAGTTCTGGATAGTTTTTAAGTACTGTGTGCTGTCGTCCTAGACTAGCAGGTCTGAACCTTTTGGGGAATCCCATGAAATCAGCAGGACCTACCTCCAGAAATGTGCACTGCCCATTGCTTTGCTTTTTTTTCCCCTGGAGGCCTGTAGACCCCCCCATATTGAACATCCCATACTGGTTTTTCTCCCTTGGTTTCCAGGCAACTCCTGCTCTGTCCTGAATCCTGTGTTCCTGCCATGTGATGCGGGTTGCCTCACTGCTCCCTGGGGCAGCATGGGGAGGGTCGGGAGTACTTTGAGAAGGACATTAGAGGGCCCTAAGTTCCTTGATGATCAGGGGCAGCCCTGACTAGAGCACTGGCCTCCCCACCCATCCTTGTCTGACTCAGCTTAATCCTTGCTCAAGTTGTGGCTTAGACTCAAAATTAATTTAAGGAGTGTTTTGTCTTTCTAGCCCCAGAGCTTGGGTGATTTGTCTCTTTCGGGAAGAGCAGGGTTCTGTCTTTCCCACCAAATGGATACTAGAAGGCTCAGCCCACCTTCCCTGGCCTTGCCTCTGAGGACTGTGGAAAGGGAGAGACGTCCCTCAGGGGGCACTGAGGACTGGTAGCTCCTGGGTTGCTGACACACAGGCTAGTTAAGTAGCCAGGAGGATGAAGTTGGCTGACTTGGAGGAGAGGGGCCAAATCTGTTTGATTCCAGAGAAGATCCCAGGGTGGAGAGCTTTGGGGACTATCGATGTGGAGTCAGTCAGTAAGCCCTTTTGTTTAATCTTTTTGCCAAGCATCAAGCAAGGCTCTGTTAGGAAAGTCACTCTCCAAAGCTTACCCAGCACATGTTCAAGGTCCCAAGTGAATACCTCTCAGGCCGGCTGGCAGCATGACCATGACTCCCACCAAGCTTCTGCCTGCAAGCTGCTAGGACGAAGCCCCTTTTACTCCCCGTCTGAGCTGCATGTCAGTGTCCTAGTGCAGAAACAACACAACACATGGATCATAGGTAAAAATCCTTGACAGTGGTTAAAAAAATACAGTAAAGTACATCAGACCATTTTACTGAATTCAAAACATTTCTATAGCATTTTCGTTTTAATTTCGCTATGAACTTGCATTGACTGAATCAATAGCATGAAAAATGATAAGATTGATTTATTAAAACTTTTGATGAAAAGATCAGGAAAATCATAGCTGCGAACTCATTGCATTTCGGCTCAGTGGAAGTTTAGCGTGTTTGTATGTGTGTTTTCTAGTTGAAGTACAGTTGACAGGCAGCATTCAGTTAGTTTCAGGTATACAACAAGGCGTACTTGGACATTTGTATACATTGCAAAAGATCACAGTAAGTCTTGTTGCCATCTGTCATCACACAAAGTTACAGAATTTTTTTTTCTTATAATGAGAGCAGCTTTCAAGTTTGCAAAACAGTGTTGTTGACTATAGTCACCATGCTGTACATCCCATCCCCATGGCTTATTTTATAACTAGAAGTTTCTGCCCCTGGGTCCCCTTCACCCATTTCGCCCACCCTCCAGCCTTCCTTCCCTCTGACAGCCACCAGTCTGTTCTCTGTATCTGTGAGCTGGGTTTTGTTTTGTTCACCTGTTTTGCTTTTCCGGTTTCACTTAGTGTAATACCCTCCCGGTCCATCCACGTTGTCACAAATGGCACGGTTTCTTTCTTTTCTTTTGCTGAATAATATACCATTGTGTATATACCACATCTTCTCTCTCCATTTATCTGTCAGTGGACATTTAAGTTCTTTCCATTTCTTAGTTATTGTGAATAATGCTGCAATGAACCTAGAGGTGCATATATCTTTTTGAATTAGTGTTTTCGTGTTCTTTGGATGAATAGCCAGAAATAGAATCGCTGGATCACATGATAGTTGTATTTTTAATCTTTTGAGGAACCTCCATACTGTTTGCCACAGTGGCTGCTCCAATTTACATTCCCACTAAGATTGTGCAACGGTTCCCTTCTCTCCATATTCTCACCAACACTTGCTGTTTGCTGTCTTTTTGATGATAGTCATTCTGAGAGGTGTGAGGTGATAGCTCATTGTGGTTTTGATTTGCATTTCCCCGATAATTAGTGATATTGAGCATCTTTTCATGTGCCTATGGGCCATCTGTATGTCTTCTTTGGGACGTTTGGTGTTTTTAAAAGATACTTTGTTATAGAGTGTGTCTCTCCAAAATCTGTATGTTAAATCCTAAAGTCCAATGCAGTGGTATTTGGAGGTAGGGCCTTTGGGGGCAATTAGGTCATGAGGATGGGGCCCTCATGAATGGAATTAGTGCCCTTATAAGAAGTGGCCTTGGAGAGTTCTCTCCTCCTTCAACCATGTGAGCCAGTAATGAGAAGACAGTCCTCTAGGAACCAGGAAGGAGTCCTCACCAGACACCGAATCTGCTGGTTCCTTGATCTCGGAGTTCCCCCCAGCAGCCTGAATGGACTGAGACATGTTATTCACAGGTTTGAATCAAAAGCACCTCTCCCTTCTAGATTAGCAATTGCAGTGTGCCCATTTGCACGTACCCCTCACCTCCTTGCCCCTCAACAATAGGTGGGAAGCCCTTAGCAGGTTGAGCACTCCAGAGGCAGGAAAACTGTCCCCCTGGGACTCTTCCTCCTGCTCGCTCTGATGCACTGTGAACACCTTCCTTCTTGTGATGTGGGACCATGGATTTCAACCTGTTAGCATTATGCCCAAGCTCTTTCAAGTGTTCTTTCTACAAGCCTGGGAAATCTTCCTGGGTTCTCCTTTCCCCCACTGCAATCAGATTATAGCCCTGACTGCCCAAGACGGATAACCCTTAAGAGACTAGAAAACTCATTTCAACTAGAAAGTAGATTCTCTTCCAGTGCTGGGGAGGGACCCTTCGTGTGGGAAGCTGGCACGATCCTCATATTGCAGGTGCCTCCCAGGGCCCGCTGCCCAGGGCAGTTACAGGCTCTCCTTCCGTTCACCCTCTGCTGCCAGAATGGTGCTGTGGGGGAAGGGCAAAGGCTCTGGGCCCCACCATGGGGCCATTCCTATAAGGGATAAAAGGACAGTGGCCAGGGGGCAGTTGTGACAATATCTGCGCTGGCCAGGCTACAGCAGTGGCAAAGCTGGGATGAGAAGAAAACGTACCAAGTCACTCTGGAGAGTCTGTTTCCCAGAGTGCTGCTGTATCCACACTCAGTTTCTGGCCAGGGCAGTGAGAGCGTGGACAGAGCTCTCTGGCCAGAGGCCAGCAAGTGGAAGCTCAGGCTGTCTCTCTAGACTCTGCCTATCAGGCAACGTGCCCACAGAGAGGCCAGGCTCTGATGGCACCTGCAGGCCAGGTGGTCCTGGCAGGTGCCTTCCTGTCGTGAGAAGGTAGGCCCCCTGCTCCTACAGATGGGAGCTCTTGGGGTGGATAGAAGATGCCACTTTTGAAATGGGATCAGATATGACTAGGAGGGAGAAGACGAAAGTAAAAAATTCTGGCTCTGAAATTAACAAAACGGATCAGAAAGGCAAAGAGTTTAGCAAAATGAGAATTTGGGCTTCACAGTCAGACTGTTCTGGGTTCAGGCGCCTATTTGCCTGGTGATCTCAAGACAAGCTACAGAACTTCTGTGCCTGAAATTTCTCATCTGAAAAACAAGTTAATATTACCTACCTAGTGGATCTAATTGAGAAAATTAAATGACTTGGGTGCAGTTCTCCCAGTGGGGTGTGGGACCCAGCAGACCGCAGAGGGCTTGCCGTCTACTAATGCGACTGAAAGAAAGTGGAGGTCACGGCGCAGGAACAGGGCAGCCGGTGTCTCCCACCCCTCGGGGCCATGCACTCAAGTGGTTGCTGGTTCCACAGACAGAATGAGGGCTGGCCGGTCCTCGTGGGTGAAGGATGTGTGTGTGTATGTGTGATCACCAGGCATCTTCGTGAGGTGTACACAATGGAAAACGAATGTGCCGTATTCTGGAATTTAAAGCAAAACAGCCCCAAAACAATCCCCCACATCAGATGATTTTGGTTAAGATCAGAATGCCCGCTTTCAGCAGAAAACGGATTTATGGGCCGGCTGACGTCCACTACACGTCTGGCGAGCAGGCAGTGGAAACTTGAATGAGATTTCTCACTTAGGAGGAGGTTACCATGGGCAGAGGCCTCCCCCCCAATCCCTCAGCCCTAAACTACTTAACACCAGCGCCTCATATCAGTCGAAGCTTTTCTCCTTTCCTAGACAGAATAAGGGCTCTGGATTTCAAGTGACACCAGCTTCGTCCTCAGATGGGAGGACTTCTCAAATCTTGAACTTATTCAGACAGGGTCGCTGCCTGATTTCCATAAAGGTGTGAGGAAAAAAAGCTTCCAAGGCCCTCATCCTCGGCCACACCCTAGACAGGGGACCAAGCTCCCCGCCTTCCACCAGGGATGCAGGAAACAGGCAGTGGAAAAACTGACCTCTGCCTGGCACGTGCTCTGCATGTGACAGAGGGAAAAAGCTGACGGCTGAGTCACTCCAGCTCTGCTCTGTGATCATGGACAAGTTGCTTTATGTCTCTGAGCCTGTTTCCTCATTTCAGGCTAGGATGATTGTAACTACCACGAAGGGTATAAGGCCATCCCGCAGCAGCCTCAGGCTGAGAGGGACAGCAGGCCTCACAGTAAGACACTGGTCTCCCAGAATTCCTCTTCTCCCCAGGAGGTCTCTCACTGTGCACCTGCAGGGAATGCCCCGCTGTTAGCAGGCTGAACATTCAGAGTGCCCCAAAGACCCAGGCAGTGCAAGATACCTGCACCCACAGGCTGCCACCTTCCTGCCTCCACTCGGGAGGCCCCCAGGTGGGCGAGCGTCACCAGAAAGGGAGGCCGAGAGGTCAGCAGGCAGGCGGAGCCTGTGCTCAGGACACCAGCCGTGCCAGCGGCCTGGGAAAGCAACTGCTTTATACTCACAATTTTGATTTTTTTTTTTAATGTTGCATTATCTAGGTAATGGGGTGGGTGCCACAGTGATCTCCGTGTTTAGAGCCCTCAATGGCCCTGAGAGGCAGAGGTCAGCCTTCCCCAGGTCCTGGCCTCTTGAGGGTGGTTGGATTTTGTTGTTATGGGTATTGTTGCCCCACCCCCACCCCAAGGTGCCACGTGGTGTAAAAGAGCTAACATAGAGCAGCAGGGACCCTCTAAGACACAGGAGAATTGTGGAGGAGGGAGGGGTGGACTTGTAGGAAATGCAGTTTCTTGGAGGGAGGCAGCCAATTGGTGACTCCCCTTAGGCCCCACTTTCTTTATGTGCATAAATGAAGGTAATAATACAAGCTCCATACAGTTATACAAAGTCAGTGGCAGCAGAAGCGGGATGGTTAATGCAAAGCCATTATCGCAGCGCCTGGCTCGTAGCAAGAGCTCAGATGTCAGCCTCTGCAGCTGTTGTGTGGTTACTATTACTGCTCCCTCTCCTTGGAATTGTTCAGAGGCTGAGGTGGTCCTCAGCGTCCACACGCCCCCGCAACTATTGCTTCAGTTCCTCAAAGCCGCATCACGGGGCACTGCGCAAAGCTGAAACCCACCACCAGGCTGCGTCCCTTTCAGAAGCTGAATTAGAGGACTCGTCTTTCCGCCTGTTCACGAAACGACTGTTGCTGAGACTTCCCGGGCTTGGGAGAGGTGGTGGGACGGTGACAGTGTCGCACTTTGCTGGAAAGGGCCCACAAGGATGCTCGACTGGCAGAGAGGCTCCCCTTGTGGAGCCCACCCGAGAAGCGTGGCCTCTGCACGTCTCCTTCACTGCATCCCAAAAGAGGTGGATGCCTCTTGCGGAGAACTTTCTGACACCTCGAAGCTCCCTTGGGACCTGCGGACGGTGGGCTTAAGACCACCGCCTCTCCCATCCTCAGCAGAGGGAGGGGGAAGGGGAGAGAATAGGCCCAAAGGAGGAGTCAGTGGTCGTGCCTTCCCTCCCCCTTGGCCTTCACCTTGGCTGGCCGGCATTGATGCCCTGAATCAGAATTGTCCAGCTAGCGGGCAACGTACGGTTTAGGTCAGAGCATCTTGCCAAATTCAACATGTCCAGACCATCTACTTGTCTTTTCTTGGGGGTTCCTGTTCTTCCCATTAACCAGTTGGCAAGTCGGGGGAGCACAGTGTTGGGAAGAGTGTGGCTGTGAGCTGTTACGTGGATCTGGTTTGGGGTGAGCTCTGCCTCTTGCTGGCTGTGTTATTCTGGGCAAGTTGCTTAACCTCTCTGAGTCTGTTTCATCTATAACGTAAGTGTGACGAGCAGATTAGATGAGATAATGTACGTAAATCACCTCCTACGAAGCAGAGCATTGTGGGTACTCAAAGTGACCGCTACTATTATTAATTTTCCTTTCTCTAGCCTCTGGAGGGATCACTAATGGACAGAAACGCCTGGCACAAGTCAAATCAATAGAAAGCTACGACGTCATTGACCATCAGCCTCTGCCTGTGTTCTTTTAAAGAACTTTTTGTTTTCCTAGAATTTGGGGTGATTTGACGAAGAGTCCATTTTCAGACACAGTGGCAGCCTGTCCTAGGGAGAGTGTGGACTGCAGAAATCCGGGGGTGTTTTTGCCAAGAGTGCCCGGCTGCAGAGGCTGCTGGAGTCGTTTTGGCGACTTGGGGAGGAGGGTTCACGGGGTGAGGCTGTGGGTGGAGGCACTTGTGGGAGCCAAATGCAGGTTCTGACTTGAGCATTTACTTTGACTTCCCAGCTCTGTGGGTTCTAGAAGGAGTGCTCGGGCAAGGATCTGTCTTACCTCTTGCTTCCTTCCCCCTTAACTGTCACCATGCAGCAGCTAAGGTGGTCCTCAAGCCCAGTCCCTCTGGCTTTACAGTGCCAGCAGGGTAGTCGAGCGTGTGAGCGCTCCTTGACACGCACAGGAACCCTGCGCCCAGAGGAGGCTCACACCCCTGCCCCCTGGCTTCGGGCATTTTGGCACTGGCATTTAGAAATCTGGTCTCTGAGTTCAGAACCCCCAGAGAGAGATTTTCCACGTCACCTCGATTGTTTTGTTTTTTTTTCCCTAATGGAGGTACCGGGGATTGAACCCAGTACCTTGCTCATGCTAAGCATGCGCTCTACCACTGAGCTATCTCCTCCCCTCCCCGCATGGTTCAGTGTTTAAACGAAAGCCTTAGGCCAGCGGTTCTCAGACCTGAGTGGGCATCAGAATCATCCGGGGGTGCTTGTTAAAACACAGACCGCAGCTCACTCAGGTTTCTAATTGAGTAAGTCTAGGATGGGGAGAGTGAGTTTGCATGTCTAGTTCCCAGGTGATGCTGCCGCTACACCTGGCCTAGGGACCGCACGTTGAGAACTGCTGTCCTGGAAAAAAGTCTCCCAGTGGCCTTTGAGGATCCAGGCTTCTGTAGATTTGCAGCCCGGCAGAAGCCCCAAGGGGATGAGGTGGCCCCCAGGTTGATGGTACGCGCAGAGGGAAGGGAGGGGGTGGCTGCTCTCCAGGACTGTGATCTCTGGAGCTTTTTCACGGGTCTCGAATAAAACTAAACTTAGCACTATGCCCTGGTTGATATCTTTAAATTCTGCTGAGAACTAACAGTTGACTTGGGATCCTTAGTGAAAGCAAGTCATGGCTGCGTTTTCTGATCGGCGTGGAATGTGTTTGTGTTGTTTTCACGGCGGGGGCGGATTGGGGGGACTGGAGAAGGCAGGATTCTGAGACCTCTGTTCCTGCCGAAGCGCTAGGTCCTTCCAGAGGCAGCGGCTGGGGGAGGAGGGTCCCGGGAGAGGGTGAGAAGAGGCGGTGGGGACCGGCTCCTGTTTGGTCTCACTGGCAGTGCCCGGCCCAGGCTCCTGACCATGAATCAGCCCTCAGAGGCTTGGCACGCACGCGTGAGCCGGGGTTGCCATGGAGATGGGTGAGGCCGGGAGCCCACAGGTCTAGGTGGCCTGACTTGTTTTTAAACACTGAAGCCTGTGTGAACACAGAGGCCCTTATTACCACTCCGGAGGCTTCCGTCAAGTGTGACCGTGGGGAAACTTGCATCCTCTGTGATCAGCCTCTCGCTGACTTCCTGGGTGCCAGGGGCGGCTCTGCCAAGGCCTCCTAAGTCCAGTACATTGAAAAAAAAATCCAAGGGGAGAGAGTATAGCTCAGTGGTAGAGCACATGCTTAGCATGCGGGAGGTACAATCCCCAGTACCTCAGTTAAATAAGTAAATAAATAGATAAACTTAACTACCTCCCTCCCCCGGAAAGAAATTTTTTTAAAAAAGAGATGACACAGTTTCCACAGATTAGAACCTGGATATTTAAAAAAAAATCCAGGGCTGATCCGTATCTTACCGAAGGAGAGAAGTAGAGTGATCATGTCTCCTCCCTGTCTATGATCTGCTCCCTTAATAACTGCTTTCTGCAGAGCGCATTTGCTCACGGAAGCAGCCTGGCCCAGGAAGGACAGAGGCCTCCACTCTCACTGATTCTGTCCCGTCCCCTCCCATCCCCACTCTCTTCGGCCATCCTGGCAGCTCCTGGTGGAGCTCAAGGAGGCATCAGCTTATCCATGTCCCCCGCCCCCATGCTCACACCGGCCCTCACAGAAGACAGACCACACCGGCCTCAGTTGCCCTGTTCTCACCCAGCCCCCTTCTCAAATCAGAGAGGGACACAGAACTGACGCTGCCGAGTGCCGTGGGTCACCCCGCTGCCGTCTTCTTGTCATTCTCAGTGTTTATTACTATTATTGCCAACAGAATCTGGCTGGCTCTGGCACTCGTGGTTTTCAGGATGTCTGACATGTATCACTTCATTTAATTTTTTTTTTAATTGAAGTACTGTCAGTTACAATGGGTCAGTCTCTGGTGTCCAGCACAATGTCCCAGTCGTGCATATACATATATATTCGTTTTCATATTCTTTTTTCATTGAAGGTTATTACAAGATACCGAGCATAGCTCCCTGTACTATACAGCAGAAACTTTTTTTTTAATCTGTATATAGTGGCCAACGTTTGTAAATATCAAACTCCCAAATGTATCCCTTCCCACCTCCTTTTCCTGGCAACCCTTAAATCTTCACCTTCAACCTGGGTAAAAGATGGGAAGGCATCACCCCCTCGTCTTTACTCTTTATGAGAACTCAAATGTTCAGAGACGCTGGGGAAAGTGCTTAGTGCGAGCAGCTCCTATCTAGCAGCGCCAGCATTAGCCCGAGTCCACGCCCATCCACGAGCCCGGCCATCCTCAGCAGGCGTGTGCACCCACCTGGGGGCAGTCAGGATGCCCTGGGATAGAGCTGAGATGATACATGTCCAGGAAACCCCCCTGCAGGTGATTCTGCCATTTCCCCATGTAGACTAAGCCCTGGGTGTCACAGGCGTGCAGGTGACAAGTGGCAGAGCCAGGACCTTCTGCTCCTTGCCCACCATTCTTTCCATTTTGCCACCTGTCCCTCACTGAAACCTTTGTAGCATCTCTTAACCACATGCTCACCAAAGTCACCAAATAGCTGTTCCTTTAGAGAAGGACAGTAAGCACTCCCTCCCCACCCCTTGACCCCATGTTGTCACCACTGCCCACTCCAGCTGCCCCTGAAGTGGCAGATGCGACCACCTTCAGTCTCAGGTCCGCCTCAGAGAAAACCGCTGGTGGAGAATGAGCTGCTCTCTACTTCCTGGCTTCTAGACAGCTGGACAGAGAGAGCACAGTGAGGGAGCAGTCTGTCCCTCTAAAGGATGTGTGGCCAGTCAGGTCACATTCCAGAGGAAAGAGGGGACCCAGGGGGAGGAGGCCTGGCCACGACCACACAGTTTGTTTGCTATGAGAGGACTTTTCTTTCAAGTTTGAAGTGGGGGTTTGTCCCACAGGCAGACCTGGTGCCTTCCACCTGAGGGATGGGGCACAGTGTCACACACACACGAACCTCCTGTCCAGTCAGCCAGTTGCCCTTTTCCTCCTGGTCACCTCCTTGCCACTTCCCCATCTTTCTGCAAGCTTACTTCAGGTGTCTCTGTAAGGAGCACCGTGGTAAATAACTCTTGGGCTTCGAACTAGAACCAGCTTTGCAGACTTGGCAGAAGCCACAGGTCAGCCAGGTGCCCCCCAAGCAACACTGCATTTTGACGTGTTTTCAGCCCTCCTTTGGAACTGGAGATGTTTTCCTTTAACCCCGGCTGTGTGCCTCAGTGTAAGATTTCTGGGCCGGTCCCTGGGGACCCGCGGCATGACTCACTGAGAGCCGGACCTCCGCGGGGGTGCCTGTGCTCTCGGCGGGGACGGGGAGAGGCCGGGAGACTGTCCGCCGCGGGCCTGAGCCCGGCGCCGGCTGGGTTTCACGCCTCCGGAAGCCGGCCCCAGCCCAGGTGACTGGGTCACTCACCACCTGTGCGCGCGTCAAAGGCCGGCTGTCTAACTGGACTTCCGCAGGGTTGAAGGCCGAGGACAGCGGTGCCTGGGCTTTCTGTAAACCCTCACTGTCGAAAGACTTTACATGGAATGGTCCCTCAGTCTCATTGTGACATTCACCCCATGCCCTCGTGGCTCCGTCTCAGTTTTTATTCTGGGCAGGTGGTTGTTCGTCATAGTTTCTGACTTTCGCTGTAAGATATTGGAAGATGGATCCAGAAGCTCGTCCAAGGGGAGAGGACCTGGGAGAGACATGCTAGTGGGCTTCAGAAATTCTTTTCTTTGAAGTCATCTTTCACTTACTGCATAATTACTCACTAATGACTGTTTGATCCCAAGGATGGAGGGGGCAAGGGAGCTCCTAGAATGACTAAGAGGTTGCCCTGCCCTCTAGGAGAGGAACAGAGGGTGGGAGGGAGAATGCTGGCAAGGACCAGTGCAGCTGGAGTCCCATTTCCTGGGGACGAGGCTGCGGACATCTTGGTGGGGAAGCAGCTGGCCTAGGTGGCCGGGACGGCCTTGCAGGAGGAGAGACTTGCTCTAGCAGAGGCGGGAATGCACGAGACTTATTTGGGAAACTTTGAGCGATTCCATCTAAGGCACAGAGGAGGAGGAGGCAGGGTTCAGTGGTGTCACTGCTGAGAGATCAAAAGTGTGGTGACAGACTACAAGCCTTAACGCTTGGTGATGACATGAGCTGTCTGGGCCTTTCAGAGAAAGGCCATCGTCCTGCAGGAAGGGCGGGAGGCAGGGAGGGGAGGGAGGTTATGCAGGGACTGCTTGCAGGGTGAGGACCCAGAGGTGGCTCAGCTGCAAGCTGAGCTGCGCGCGCAGAGCAGCCTAGAGGAGCCATGCGGTCAAGGGGAGAGAGGGTTTGTTTTCTGTTTGGTTTTTTCGGGAGAGACAGACCAGCCTATGTGTACTGGCAAAAAGTCAAACAGTGGTGGAGGCCAACAACAGAGGCAGGAAAGAGCTGGATTAATGGAGCGCGTTCTTTTTTCTATATATAGAATAAGCGTTTTTTGGAAGGAGAGGTAATTAAGTCTATTTATTTATTTTTAGTTTTTTTTTTTAAATGGAGGTACTGGGGATTGAACCCAGGACCTCATGCATGCTAAGCACACGCTCTACCACTGAGCTATGCTCTCCCCACTGGAGCGGGTTCTTAATGGAGACAGGGAGGCCCCATCGTCCACACACACATACACACACTTAGGTCTAGGACAGTTGTACATCTGCAGGAAAGCTGTAAAGACAGCACGGGGAGGTCCCTCTCACCCCGCTGCGTCTCCCCTGTTGCTCACGGCTTCTAGTCCCAGGGCGCGTTTGTCTCAGCTCAGAGACCCACATCAGTACCTTCCTCTTAACCAAACTAGACTTACTTGGATCTCACCTGTTTTTCCAGCCCTCCCCCTTTGTGTTCCAGGATCCCACCCACGGTACCACGTGGCAGGGGTCCTGTCTCCTCTGTCTCTCCTCTGGTCTGTGACAGTTTCTGTCTGTCTTCATTTTTCATGACTCAGACAGTTTTGGGGACTTCCGGTCAAGTACTTTGTAGCATGTCCTCAGGTGAGGTTTGTCCCATGATTTTTCATCTTCTAAGAAGAACATGAGCGTGTGTGAAGTAAAGAAATTTCCAGTAAAATAGTGGGGAAAGCTGTCCTTTCTCCCTGCCCCTGTCGAATGGGTGGTACTGCATCTGGCCTGAAAGCGGAATGTTTCCCTTTGGCTTTTGTAACCAGGTAACTGAGCAGAGCCTGGGCTGGGAGTGGAGGGGCTGGGCATTCTAATTCCGTCCCCACCAGACCGACTGGTGACGTGGGCCGATCACTGCCCTCTTTCTTGGCCCTGTGAGCGTGGAGCACCCTCTCTCTGCTCTGCAGCTATGCTTTAAAAGGCAAGGAAGGGCCACATCTCACCGTTCCTGTTTGACAGACAGGAAAACTGAAGCGATGAACCACTAGGCCAGAATTCCAGGCCCTCACCTGTGGACACCACCGTGGGTGTAGACAAGGTTTTGACTCTACGGCAGGCTGAGGTCTTGGGTCACATTTCCTACTGTTGCTGCCTCTGCTCTCCACCCAACATGTCCAAACCCACTGCCAGTTCATAGGGAAAAGGAGAGAAACAGAGAAGTAGAGCAGAGGCCTGTCTATACTGCAGGCTGTCCCAGCCTCTGGGGCAGAGAACCCTGCTCCCAGAGGAGCAGGGCTCTGACACAGGGTGCCTCTGTTGAAGAGGGTGGGCTGGTGAAACCTGGGGCTGGACGTTGGCTGCGAGCCCACATGCCCTCGTCCAGCCGGCCACCACCCACAGCCTGTGAGTCATCCCAGCCAGCCCTGGTACGGGCCAGCGACGGGGAGGGGAGCTCAGCTGGCCTGGGGCCGGAGCTGGGGGTGGGGGGCGAGCAGGGCCGCCTCCTCGGCACCAAGCTCAGCAGTTCGGGGCCAGGATTGGTGCCTGGGTCTTTGCTTACGGGGAGAGTCTGCCCTGTAGGGTCCAGTATCTCACCCGGCCCACCTGTGAAGTGGGATTTTCAGTAAATTGTAAGTGTGGACGTTTCCTTGGAGGTTTCTTGTCTGATGTTTGTAAGGATCATCCTAAACCTGGCATCATGTGGTCAGCTTGTAAGGCTTCCCTGTGTGAGGAGGGAGGGACCCAACGTGGAGGAGGCTCCGGCCGTCCTTCTCTGAGCAGCGAGGGTTGGTAAGGACTCCCAGATGCCCTCGCAGCCCTTTGGGTGATTTTCTCTTCTTTTATTGTGTGGTATGTATACAGGGTAGCTCAGAAAACACAATGTAAAGATAACTGTGAAGTGAGTATCTGTGCCGCCACCAGTTAAAGCTAGCATGTTGCTGGTGCTGTAGGCCTCCCCCACCCAAGTGCTAGTCCCTCGTTAGAAATCGTCCTCTCTCCCTACAGGCCACCACTCACTCAACTTTATCACCTACATGCACCCCTAAACGGTCATTTTTAAATGAATGGAATCATACCATGTGTGTTCTGTGCTTCTTGCCTCTTTAACATCCTGAGATGCACTCACAGTTTTGCATGGACTGCAGCTGATTCCTTTTCACTGCTGTATAATATTCCATTGTCTGTGGACATATCCATTCTACCCCTGTGCTGCTGGTGGAGAACTGGTTATTCCCAGCTGGCTAGTATTTTTCTCAAATGGCTTGATCTCCCATCTCTATCTCCACCTTGTCTACTGCTACTGCCAGGTGCCTGGTGAGGAGCAGAGGCCAAGGGTGTCTCACCCACTGGTGATTGGGGTCCCCCCCGTCCCTGGCGGCCAGGCTAATGCCATTGTCCTGTGTGTCATGCAGCTTGCCGGGATTGCGGTCCTTGCTGTAGGACTATGGCTCCGATTCGACTCGCAGACCAAGAGCATCTTCGAGCAAGAAAATAATAATTCCAGCTTCTACACGGGTGAGTAGGGGACACCTGGTGCTCCCTCCAACTGCAAAGAGTCCATGTTGATCCAGGGACTTGGTTTGAGGACTTTTGCGCCGGCCACGTTGCCGGTCGGGTCCCTTTCCAGCCATGCTGTTGTGTCGCTGTGCCCGTGAATTTGCATTTGTCGAGGTGGTTTCTTTTTCTGAGCTGACTGAGCCTGGCCTTTTGACCATTCTCTGGTGTGAAGTCGACTTTGCCAAAGCTGCTGCCATCCTGGAGGGTTTCAGAGCCTCGGCTTCTGTCCCTGATCCACTCTCTTAATTTCATGTCTTCTTGAGCTTGTTCATTTCCTTAATTTAAAAAACTTAAGAGGGAAGGGTAGAGCTCAAGGGCAGAGCACGTGCTTAGCATGCACAAGGTCCAGAGTTCAATCCCCAGTACCTCCATTTAAATAAATAAACATATACATACGTACATATATAATACATACATAACTAATTACCTCTCCCCTCCAAAAATTTTTTTTAAAGAATTAAAAAAAAATTGTTCTGGGGATCCACAGTGCCTGGAGAAGGAGAGGGAACTGGTCAAGCCGGGCTCAGACCCAGAGGTCAGGCAGATGCATACGAGAGACTAGAAGAGGCCCCAGCCCTTCAGACCCCTGCGCTGGGGCACAGGCCATGCCTGTTTTTTCTCAAATGCTTTTGCTTTAGGCCAGAGGCTTCCAGTTGGAAGATGAATAGATCCAGCAGGTTTCTTCCCACACACAGGCGCCTTGGGCCTCTTACCGGATTGCCCGGCAAGCGCCTCTCAGGGGAGTGGGAGCCCGGGGCCTGTCCCCTGCAGCCTCCGAGTCAGCCCACAGCACCCGGCCCTCCTCTGCACGAGGCTGGGGGATAGGAAACACTTCATTTGCGAGAAACAAAAGCAGCCGCCTATTTTTAGGAGGATGCTGACATGTCATCAGGCTCAAACTGTAAGTTTGGTCACTTCCTTTCCACCCACCAAAGAAGTTATTTTTTAAAAAAGACGAGAAAACAGTCTGAAGAGGGTTATTGCCCAGGCTTCTAGGAAGAGCGCGGTGGCCGGTGGCGTGTGGGCCACCATCTTCCTGCCTCTGTCGCCACGGCGGAGGGTGGTCTCCCTGCTTCTATTGCTTTTTGGTGGTGGTGTTAGTTGGAGTTTTTTAGGGTGTGTCTCCCTATTGTCAGAAAGAGTGAGGGAAAGAAAAGCACAACATATGTTTTAAAACAAAGACAAAGCCACACACACAGCAAGTTTTAGGGAGCAGGTTTCCGTGGTGCCCTGACTTGTTTTAGCAACGGTGTGTTTTGGTGACCGCAGTGGAATGCCACCCCCTGGGCCGGGGCAGTGGGGCTGCAGGGCAGGGCGGGGGCTCGGGGCCAGCCTTGTGCTCTCCACACCATGTCACAGCATATCACGACAGGGAGCTGGGGGCCCTCTGCGGGGAGAGCAGACCTGCGGGCAGGCAGGTGGCATTGTCCTGAAGAGAGACCCCAGGCTCTGCAGGGTGCCTGGCTCCACACCTCGGGTCACTCTCAGTGATGGCTTCTGTCTCCCGTTACCTAGGACTCTGGCTCACTCTGAGTGCTTTTAGCTGTGGGAGGTGTGGAGTAACGTGCCCGAGCTCACACCCCTCCAGAGGCAGGGCTCAGATTTGAAGCCAGGCCCAGGAACGCTGCCCCTGGGACAATCGGGCGGGGCCATGGGGGCTGCCCCATGTGGGAATAGAAAATGTCTCCACCGACTGCACGTCCCCCTTGGTGGGCAGGGCCAGCTCTCCTGGCCTTTTGACTTCACCCCAGCTGTGGCTGGGGGAGACGGGCCCTCAGCACCAGCAGCTCAGTGGGAGAGGCGGGCAGGGAAGTGACACCGTTGAAGGAGCCAGGCTGCCTGCGGGAACCTCCTGGGACTCAGTCCCCCAGGTCATTGGGGGGGCCCTTCTGATGGTCAGTGGTCCGACCTGAAGTGACCAGGAGGTGGTCTGAAGACATATCCCAAAGAAACACAGCATATCCCCCCCAAAAACACAAAAGAAAAAAGAAACACCCACCCCTACTCGGGGGGCCAGTGGCCGCTGCCCCCTGAGCTCTGATGGGGACCCTGGCCCTCTGTGCCAGACCCCCTTCCTGCGAAAGGGCTCAGCTTCGAAGACTTCATTTTATTTGCAGAAGCCCAGGGACTAGGGGGTGATGCAAGTGACACTAGAACTTGGTCAACGGAGTGACCACTTGGGCCTGGCCAGGCCCTTGTGCCTCACTGAGTGCTTTGGGAAACTGAGTGTCATCTGCAGGCAAAGGGCCAAGGAGGCTTCTGTGTCCCCTTCCCCCTCGGGCTGTGACATCAGCCTTTGTATTACCCACGGCCCGTTCCAGCAGAGTACAGCTCCACCCAGCTGCTATTTCTGACGTCCTGGGGTGACTGTCCCTCACGCTGGGGCACCAACCATCTGTAGGGTGACCCACCGGCCAGCCCGGCCATGCAGCCAGCCCTTCAGGAAACCTGGAGGGCCCAGGGGTGGCTCTTCTCCAGGGGGGCCACAGCTCTCACAGCAGAGAAAGGGTGAATAACCAGGCAAAGATGCAAGTAAAGGAAGAAACTTTACAACATTCAGAACGGTCTCTGCTGGATCCAAACAGCCGACAGCCTTATATGGGCCTTCTCTCCAGTTCAGGGCCTGGAGATCCAGCCTGTCAGCAGTGTCCATACCCTCAAGCTGCAGGTGTTGGGGAACTTCTTTTTCTTGGTCCCAGGCCAGCAGCCCCTCTCAGTGGTGTCCTTCCAGAACCTCGGCCCCCGATGGAGGGCATCTCGGTGGGGCTCCAGCCAGGGGCCGGGCGTGTCCGCCCCGCAGGACTCCTCCCTCGGTGAGGTCTGGGCCGCACTGTGCTGGCTTCCCCCGGCCAGCGCACGGCCTGGGGCATTTGTTTTGCTGCTCTGTGCCTGGTTTTCCCCAACCTGGTGCCAGCAGAGTTTACACCCACCTCTCCAGCCCAAGACCTCGGTGCTTGACAAACAGAGCTCACTGTGGCCTCATTAACCAGCACAGCCATGGATGGGACAGAGAGGGACTGAGAGAGAGCCACTGCGGAGCAGACCCCGGTTCCTCTGAACCCCTGCCTGACTTATTTGGAGATAATAAGCTGTCCTCAGCAAGTGGAGGCCCAGGCGCCGCCAGATCTTGTTCTGCACACACACAGGTGTGGTGAGTGCTGTTGGCAGGATGGGGTCGGGGTGAGGACAGGAGGCCGACGCGTCCCCTCCCTTCCTGAAGCCAAGAGCCCCGATAAAGAAGGAAGGCTCTTGGCAGATGCTCCTGCTTAACTAGAGGCCTTTTTTTTTTTTTGGACTAGGCCTGTAATAGCCTGAAAAAAAGCAGAATAAACAGCCCTTAAGCAGATGAGTACAGTAATCCTAGGGAAGACTCTGTGACGAGTCACTTTTTCCGTGTGTCAGACCGAGGCTAAGATACACTGGTTTTATAAGGGGAACATGCTTTGTCATTTATCACCATCAGCCTCTGCTAATGAGCTCGAGGGGTGTAGACGGGGAGGAGCCTCTCTGAGGGGAAGCCCTCGATGGCCCTTTGAAGCAGCAGGCCACGCCCTGCCGGGGCGCTAAGGCTCCCAGGCAGTGAGCCACCCTTTGGCTTGCTGAGTGCTGCTAAAATCCCATGAACGGCCTCCAGGGAATTGTTCATCCTCATCCCCACCTGGAGAGGGGGACGCGAGATACCGCAGATCTGCAGCTGTTGGAGCAAGCCTGAAAACCAACAAGACCCTTAGTCCTAAAATCTTCCTCCGCAGAGCCCAAGAATGAATATTTAATATTAACAGATAGGTCCATTAGGACAATGTTCTCTGCGTGGGAAAGGCTTTTTCCTTTAGTGGCTCTCTGTTGCCATTGCCCCAGCTCCTCTGACTTCTGCCAGGGTTGCCCGGGCTTCTGCACTGGGATCTGGACTTAGAGAAAATGTGTCTGTCTGAGCATCCCCACTCAGCTCTATTTTATGTGCTTGGGAATCCTTTGATCTCATAATACCCCCTATTTATTCAGCTCCTGCTCTGGAACTCAAAGGAGTGACCTCATCCTTCGTCGTCTTGCCCCAGTGGGGAGAGATGAGGAGAATCATGAAATGGGGAGAAGCCTGGGCTGGATCCCTGTCCCAGCTCCCCACTGTCCCCAGGTCAGAGCCCAGACCCGTAAGAGGCTGCCCTTCTCCTGTGCGTGGGCGGGGCTGTCCCACCTCTGCAAGTCCAGCCTGTGGCCCCCTGTATTGGGCGACCTAGGAGGATGGGACTCAACTCGAGGACAAGCTGCATTTGTCCCCTTGCCCAGTCTGGGCCGGGCATGCACGGGAACAATACCCATATTCATCAGGGTTTGCCAGTAAGCCCACGTGACTTGACATCACGACAGATGTGGGGGGAACAGGGAGAGGACAAACACTCCCTTGTGTGCGCTGCGCCCTGGGCTGCCCGTGAGCCCCAGCTGCAGGCCGCCTGCGCAGCTCGCTGCCTGCACAGCTCAGCCCCGCGTGGAGGGTGCAGATGTGGGACAGTGAAGTCACTGTGACACCTGCCGGGGTTCTCGTTTCGGTATCCTGTTGTGTACTGTGGGGCAACGACCCTACCTCAGGGAGGTCTCCCTGGTCCTGGTGAAATTTATCATCACTGTGATTATTAACAATTGTCGTCCATCTTTCAATTAATAGTAGCTAATTGCATATCAACTAAACCTCAATTGAAAAATAAAAATTAAGAAAAAAATTTTTTAAAGACTAACAGTGGCTAGCACGTGTGTACATTTGGATCACATCGGCTAATCCTCACAGCAGTCCTTGAGGTAGGCGTTTTTCCCATCCCCTGTTTGCAGATGGAAACTATTGCCAAGGGAGGTTAAGTGTCTTTCTAAGGGCCACAGAGCCGGCTTTCAAACCCAGGCATTTGGGACTTCAAAGCTGGTGCCCTCAACCTGTGACGACATGTGCCTCTTCCAAAGGGGGACAGAACATGCCTGCAGGCAGCAGAGGCCTGGGACCTCTTTGCCAGTTTTCCCGTGGCGCCCGGGGCGGGGCAGCTGGGTGAGGGGTGGTTGCTGCAGGACTGCTGTGCTGCTAAAGGATGTAAGTGCACACACGGGGGGCCCCTCTGGGCCTTCCCCGGGCAGGGTCTAGATGACTAGGGCCAGGGCTGTGCCTCGCTGTGTGCCCCTGTCCCAGGCTGGGGTTGCAGAAGTCATGGCCCTTTGTGGCCCCTCTCCATCAGATGCCCCAACTGACTGTTTAGATAGAAACAGGGTCACTCACCCTCCCTCTAGCACAGAAGATCCTTTGCACCCTTAAACCCGGGGCAGCTGAATCGCAGCTGTGAGACCTCACTGATGTGCTATAAGGGATCTTTTGAAATTTTGTAGCAACCAACTTCTCATTTTACCAATAAGGAAATTGAGCCTCAGAGAGGGAAAGTGTCTTACCCAAGATTGCACAGCAGTTAGTAGCAGAGTTGGGCCCAGAACAAGGGTCTCCTGACAGCCAGGCTGTGTTCTTTGCACTAGAGCAAGGTACTCGGGCCCTCGGATGTTGCTGACTGTACCTGCCTGAATGCCACCTGGCAGCAGAACCAGGAGGCATCCCCTCGGGGAATATGGCCAAGCTGGCCCACCCAGAGCACAGTTGTCCGGTTCTGCACAGCCTCGTCCTGCTGCAAGCTTGCTCTGATAGCCTCTTCTGTCAGGTGGAGGCCAGAAGGAGGAGGCTTGTCAGAGTCCTGGGAAGTTACCCTGAGTTTGGAGGGTTGAATTTATTTAGCAGGAGTGGGTCCATCCAGCTGGAAACAGCTGACAGACTGGACCAGTTTTTCCTGAGTAGAATCTGGGGGGTGGGGGTCTGTGGATACCCCAGGTCGGGGTAATGGGCACCTTCCAGGAAGGCTGAGGGTAAGGGAGCAGTGAGGGCTTGAAGCGGGTGGTCCTAGAGGAGGGATGGGTAGGGGGAGACTTAAAAGCGGAGGTGAAGGAGGCTGTTTTGGAGGGCGGGGCTCTTCTCCCCTGAGATGAGGGCAGTAGGGCTGGGGGGCAGCACAGAGTCACGAGCAGAGGGAAAGGAACCAGGAGGTATCTGGGCCTCCACACTAATGTCTCCCTGTCCTGTCCTCTGCCCCGTCCCTCAGGAGTGTATATTCTGATTGGAGCCGGCGCTCTCATGATGCTGGTGGGCTTCCTGGGCTGCTGTGGGGCCGTGCAGGAGTCCCAGTGCATGCTGGGATTGGTGAGTGTCCCTGCTGTGTGCCCACGGCCCCTGGGTCTCCGAGGCCCCCACCCAAGGATCTCAGAGAATGGGGGGAGGGATGGGGAGGAACGGGTACCCAGGGCCCAGCCCCACCCGCCTCCCAGCCAGGTCATCATCCCGTCCCTCCTCCCCTGTGCTGATGCTCTCCTCTTCTTCCCTGTAGCCTCTGTTTCATCACTTCCCTTAGGCGACTAAATGCCAGGACTTTGTTTTCCCCTTTTTCGAGGACCACGTTTGCTTTCTTTCCCTGAACCCACAGGTACCTTCGCCTTCTCTCCTTGTTTCAAAATTTGCCACAATTTTCCTTCATCTTCGGAGTGCATTCACTCCTCTCTTTCTTCAAATCTCTGGCTTTTGTGGGAGTGATGGGATGTTATCGCTGACTCTTAACACCTTAGAAATGCCAGTTCTGGGGTCTGTGCCCGCTCTCCTCCTGCAGCTTTTTCCCTCCTGGCCTTGGCTGGGCGCTCACAGTTCTGTAGACCTCCTCTGGCCCCGTACAGGCATCCATCCCCTCCCCATCAGACGCCCGGGCCCCAGACACCCAGTCTCCAAAATGCCCTCTGCTGGCCCTGGCCGTCCGGCCGGGACCGCGCCTCACCCCGCCCCTTCCCTTCCAGTTCTTTGGCTTCCTCCTGGTGATATTCGCCGTGGAAATAGCTGCAGCCGTCTGGGGGTACTCCCACAAGGACGAGGTAGGTTTTTCTGCTCAGGCCCCTTGGGAGCTGGGGGTGCGGGGTGATCGTGGCAGAAGGGTGTCCTGGCTGGTCACTTGGGTCGACCTTCAACCATCAGGCGTGCTTCATGTCACCGTGCTTCCCACGTGCACGTCAGAACAGGAGCTCCCTCAGGCGGGGGTGTGAGCATGTCCACCACCCTGTGCGGGTGCAGTGCCAGCCCCCGCGTACTGAGCCCTGGACAGAGTAGGTGTCCAGGCAGCATCGTTGGGTCTCTGCGTCTGTATCCCTCACCCAACTTCCCTGGTACATGACTGAGGAAAACATGGCTTTGTGTGGGCAGGACCCCCCTGCTCCATCACCTGATCTGTAAACATGTGCCACCCGGAGCCAGGAGCTGGGCCACGCTCCCTGCAGGTCCAGAGATGCATGTGTTCCCTGCTCCAAGGAGCTTTGCCACCAAGTGCGGGAGAAAGATCTGATAAGTGTCACATGGGTCATTTATATCCAAAAGCCCTGTGGGATCTGAAAGGCTGGGGTGGGGCTTCATGGAGACGGGGGTGTTGACCTAAACCTTGAAAGAAAGAGAGGATTTCCGGAGGAAAGTTGATGGAGGCAGGGGCTTCCCAGCAAGGAAGGGCTTAGCAGGAGGAACAAAAGAAGAGAGATGCTGGATGCAGGGCGGGGTGGGCGATTTCATTATCCAGATGATAAAACCTGCAGCCCTGGAACTAAGAAGGGCTAATTACGAAAGATGCTAAAGAAGAAATGCTGGGTCAGTTCACTGATGTTGCCAGGCGTTCGTTAAACTGGGCTGCACCAGGTCCAGGAGGATAAGAATATTTGCTTTATGTTACAATATAACAGCTGGCACTTACATTTGCTGTGTTCCCAGACACTAACAGCTTCACGCGCAGTATCTCCTTTAAATCCTCACCGTGACCTCTGAGGTAGGGACTGCTATAACCTCCACTGTCCCTGTGCAGACACTCATGTAGAGAGGCTTGGTGATTTGCCCAAAAACACAGCCTGTAAGTGAAGACAGAAAGAACTAGCTAGGTCAGGAGTAAGATTTTTTTTCCTTAGATTCAGGAGATTCGACTTTGTTTCTAGATAGAACGAAAAGAGCCGAGCTGGGCTGAAGGGACCAATGAGAGGCACAAGAGAAGAAGGGAAAATGGCTGGAGCGGTCCCTGGAGGACGTGGGAGGAGACAGGAGGGACCCTGGAGGCCAAGAGGGGCGGGCCTGCTGCAGCGGCCGGTCTGCCCTGTCACATCCCCGAGCGTGGGAATTTGCGGCTGAGCGGGAACAACATGGAACCTCTCTCGTCTGTGCATCACAGGTGATTAAGGAACTCCAGGAGTTTTACAAGGACACCTACAACAAGCTCAAAAACAAGGACGAGCCCCAGCGGGAGACGCTGAAAGCCATCCACTACGCGGTACGCCGTCTCCGCAGAGACACCGGCCCTTCCTCTCGCCCTCAGAACGCCTGTCCGTCTCTCTTTCAGTCCTCTTTCATACCGGCCTCGCTCACCCCCATCCCTGCTCCTCTCTCTGCAGTTGAACTGCTGCGGTGTGCTTGGGGGAGTGGAACAGTTTATCTCGGACATCTGCCCCGAAAAGAACAACATCGCCAGCATCACAATTAAGGTAACTTCCACGCCGGACTGTGCCCCTGCCCGGCTGCTCTGGGCAAACCCTGCAAGAGCAGACGTATGCTCGGCCCTCTTGTTCCGGCAGGACAGCAGCCCCGGGCGGCATCTCCTTTCTCCCCAGCCCTGGGCCTCTGTTTCCCCAGGGGCAGCAAAACAAAGTCCAGACCAGGGAAATAACGAGGCGTTCTAGCTGCCTGCAGCAAATGGGCACCTGGAACTGCCCGCCGCCGCCCCAGCCCTCCAGCCATTGCGGGCTGAGGTGCTCTCGCGCCTGGACTCCTGCTTTTTAGACTTGTAAACGGCTCGTGATTGTAAGCTCACAGTAATGTCCAGGCTTCAGGGGGCAGGAAGTAACCCGGTGGCCAGATAAGAGATAGACCCACATTACCCCCTCTTCCTTCCCTGAATTCTTGCCCAAATTCAGGGGCCCCACCTCCCAGATCTCTCTCTTGGCTTCTTGCTGTCCACCAGCCAGTCCCCAGCCCTTTCTCTGGGAACACCAGCACTCTGAGTGTGAAATGGGTACTGTGGGAAGGAGGATGGGCTTGGAGCAGAGTCTGTGTGTGACCTAGATCTTGGTTTGTCCCCCTAAGCCCTGCCCTCAAGCCATCGAAGAGGTCTTCCAAAACAAATTCCACATCATCGGCGCCGTGGGCATCGGGATCGCAGTGGTGATGGTGAGTGTGATGACGGTTGCCCTGGTGATGAGAGGGCATCAGGATGGAATGGTCCCCTTAGCAGTTAGGATTTATTAAGCACTTGCTCTGGCCAGGCACTGTTTTAATTAATCAACTAACTAATCGACTAATTTAATCCTCACCCTACCTATGAGGTGGGAACTATTAGCATTCTCACTTTACAGATTCAGGCACGGTGAGACAGAGGTTGAGTACGTTGATCAAAGTCTGTCTCTGAGCTCACAGGTGAGGTATCTGGGATTTGAACCGAGTGTGTCTCAGGGATCCATTCCCTTAACCATTAAGGTTCAGGGATAAATGTCCGGTGATTCCACGGCTGCCAGTCCACCAACCACACTTGGAGCAGCAAGGATGTAGATCGCCCAGACCTGTTAGTGACCCTGGGATAATCTTCAGAACATGTTTTCACCATGCACCTGCTTTTCTTTGCCCCAAGAAAGTAGTTCAGTGAAAGCTGCATGGATGTGAACTGTTTCACCTCCCCCTGTGATGTGAAGGACATTCCAAGGTGGATAAACAGAAGGAAGGCAAAGCTTCCAGTAATCTACTCTCTTGCCAATCAGCCCCCAGGAACCATCAAGGGCCAACTGGCTTCCCTGGGGACCAACCCCCCCCCACCTCCAAAGACTATCCCCAAAAGAGAATGGCTTTGTCTTCTAGAGATTCTCTGCCTCCTTCACCTGCATCTAAGAAAGGCTTGGAGCAGCTTTCAGTAAAAGGCATAACAATGCCTTTAAAACTAGAGTTGAAACACAGACAAACGTAGAGGGAAGGAAGAGTACTGGCCTGCAGGGACTGTTGGAATATCTGGAATTTGAGCCTTAACTTGAGCTCTGAGCTTGCTAGTCTCGTCCTGAAAGTTCCCCAGGCGTCTTGCACGTGCGGTTAGCCGTAGCTGGTGGCTGCAGACTCAGACTCCCGCCAGCCAGCCAGCCAGCCAGCCTTCCACTGCCCCGCCTGCGTCCCTCTTGCTTCACGCGCTTAACCTCGTTTGGCCTCACAAACATATTCTCCTTGTCGTCTGTCGTGGCCTGAATGGCTCACATCTTCCCCTCTCCCTCCGCCTTCCTGCAGCGAAGCCACCCTGTTCCTCACCCTCCTTCCTGTCTTCCAGATCTTCGGCATGATCTTCAGTATGATCCTGTGCTGCGCCATTCGCAGGAGCCGAGAGATGGTCTAGAGTCAGCTTCGCACCCCTGAGCAGGAGAATTTACCCCTGAAGATTGCTGGTTATTTTCTCGGGGTTCTGTTTTTATTTTTTTTGGTTTTCTTTGCCACTAATTTTAGTATTCATTCTGCATTTCTAAACAAAAAAAGTTATTCTATGTTTGTGTTTTTAATGCTTTATTCAATATTGATATTTGTAGTTAAGGGGTTTGGGGATTTGGATTTGCTCTGGTTTGTATTTTTTTTCATTGTTTATTTTTGCTTATTATGTTAAGCAGAATTCCTGCAATGAAAGGTACTATATTTGCCAGACTCTAGACAAAAGATATTGTATATAAAGAGGGGTTTTTTTTGTCTTTAAATAGATAAAAAAAGTCTATCAAATTTAATCAGATTGTAACTTATGTTAAAGACAATTTGATACAAAATAAAAGATTATGACAATATGCAGAGCTGGTTTTGGGATTTTTTGCTTCCCTTAACTTTTTTTTTTTTAAGAGCTGTTTATTTATTCAGATGTCTTTCGCCTGCGATTTGCCCCAACAGTGTTCATATAGAAGTAGGTGGGCAGATTGGTCTCCCTGCTTTACTGGTGAAGAAATCAAGGCACGGAGAGATGAGAGGATTTTGATCCCAGACCACACCGTGGTTCACAGCATCAACACTGGACCCTAGCCTGGGACTCTCTCTCGCAGCAGTGTGACGTGTCTTGGGGACACAGCAGTAAACACTAGTGCCCTGATGGTAGGGACTTTGCTTTATTCGCTGCTGTACCCTCGGCACCTAGAACCTACTGTGTAGGGCATAGTAAGTACTCGGTATTTGTTGGTTGAGTAAATGAGAGTGAGGGTATGCCCATCAGGGTGCCATCAGAGGAGCGGAGCATTAAATACCCTTTACAGGGATGTGACCTTACACAGTCACTGGAGCTGGTTAAGCAGCTTTGTAAGACTTGCCTTTGCTTCTGACGCTGGAACCTGACGCCCACGGAGCAGTCGGGAAGGGCAGGTGGGTGTGAAGCGGAGGAGAGTGAGAACAGGGAGCCGGTGAGGACAGACGAATCCGAGTCCGTTCTTGTTCTTGATGGTGGTGCGGGTCCTGCAGAGGCGGGGACCCGGTGCAGTGGAACCAAGCACACACTGGCTGGGATGTTGGGGGGCTGAGCCAGCAGGGAAGCAGCCATTGGTGGGAGCTACAGAGGGACCCCCATCCCCTTCCCCGCTCCAGTGGTGCTCCACTCTAGCCACAAGCCAGCAGGCAGGGGAAGGCTGGCGAGGGTCAGCCTCACCAGGGTGGCTACCCACGAGCCATCAGGCAGGAGACATCGTCCCCACTCTGAAAGTCTCCAATCTAGAGAGCGGTTCAGAGCCCTCGGCCGGAAATTGGAACACAGCAAGATAAACGCTGCAGAAGAGGAAATACAGAAGCGAAGGAAACCTGTTTTTATTTTCCATTCCTTGATTCAGTTGAGGCTCTTCCTTAACATTAAAATAAATAAATAAAAATGGCCTGAATGCCATTCTATTAAAAACAAACAGAACACCAGTGTTCACAGGAGAATTACCCTCAAGAGCCAAAAGGTACAAACAATTCAGATAACCCTCAACAGAAGACTGGATGAACAAAATGCGGTAGATCTGTACCACGGAATACTACTTTGCCTTAAAAAGAAATGAAATCCCAACACATGCTACAACACGGACAAGCCTGGAAGGCACGATGCTAAGCAAGTGAGCCAGACGAAAAAGAACAAGTACTGTATGACCCTAAATAGATGAGGGACCCAGACTAGGGAAATTCATAGAGACAGAAAGTAGATTCGAGACAACCAGGGGCCAAGGGAGGGGAGAACAGGGCAACAAATTCGAATAGAAGCAGCTGGACAGGAAGGTTATTACTACACCCGGTGCCCTTCAAGGACTGAAAGTGGGGAGCTTTCAGGTCCCCAAACCCCCGGCACTTTCCTTAAGGGCCCACCTCCCCACGTCCCTCGTCCTACAGAGTGAAGCTGAGTGGTGTGAGGGCGGAGCCAAGACCCCGCCTGTGCCCCAGCCCTCATCCTGTGCTGCTGTCCGTCTCCTCCCCCCGGGAAGGAGGTTTTAGCTAGCGCATTAAGAACCCCCAGGGCAACAATGAAGTTTTGTTTCACTGACACTTAGTCTGCCGTATCTCATGAGCTTCATGGGCACAAGACAGAAAGATGAGTGGACTTAACAGCTCATTGGCAGATCCATAGCTGGGTGAAGACCCCCATACAAGGGGAAGGGTCTCCACTGTTGAGCTAGGGCGTCCAGCTTGGCCTTACCCTGCTCAGTGTTCTAAATGATAACTTGGAATATTATTAAATATGGTAGGTTCAACAAAGCTCTGAGGAATATCCAGTTATCTGGGTAACAGAATTATAGTTCAAAGAGATTACAGGGTCTGGAATAAAGGATTACGACACCCAAAGGATATATCTTAACAGGAATAAATAATCAGTAAATGAAATGAAGCAATCCATATAATATGTTTAACATAATTCCTCACCCTTGCACTTCAAGGAGCTGAGTAAGTTTAGCACATATTTGGCTGGTTGGATAATAGGGTTTTATCCGTCATATGTTAAGTCTGGAGGCAACCACAGGTATTGATGTAGCAGCAAGGCGCTGTCAAAGATGGCATCTCTCTGATTCTCTTGGCCTGCCCCGCATGATCACAAGGTAGCTGCCACAGCTCCAACCATCTCTACGTTCACAGCAGGAAGTAGGGGAGAAGAGCAAATGCTACAATCTTTTTTAAAAAATCTAAAATGCCACAACATTGTAAAATGATTATAAATCAATAAAAAAAAAAGTTCAATCAATCAATCTAAAATACAAAAGCTTCTCCCAACAAACTGGAAGCCAACTTCTACTTGTGCACCATTGGCCGAAATCTGTCACCTGGGTACCATAGCTATAAAGGAGGCTGAGAACATGAGTATCTAGTTTTTCCATCGATAGTGAAAGTGGGAAAGGAACAAATGAGTTATGAGAGCTTTATCTGATTTTACAGTAGGAGAACTTGAGGTTCAGAGAAGTTAAATATTTGCCCCGGATCATCCAGTTCACATACTGGATACAGATTTGAATCCATGTCTGTCTTTCTTCGGTCTTACTGCATATTTCACACAGTGGTGCCTCCCAGGATTAATATCATAGAAAGAAATTTAACAGAGACATCCTGGAATGCCTTTTGATTGGAAGAACTCAATTCCATCAATGCAAGTTGGAAAACAATTTCATTTGAAAAAAGACATGGAACTGTAGCTTACCACAAACCTAACAGAAGCCAAAACTGTGAGGTCAGGATGTCTTGAGCTCTGTCCGAGGAGGTGGGTGTCCAGATGGAAGGAGATACTAAAGCCACAGGTACATCGGTCAGGCCCCAGGGCAGCAGGATGATCCAGTCAGATCAGAAAGGAGGGTGGGCAACCACAGAGACCTGGAAGGGGCAGACCTAAAACCCTGTCGTCCAAGAGGAGACGCGGGACCAGGGGATTCAAACCTGGGTGGGATGGGAAACCAACAACACAACAAACTATTCTCAAACGTCTAGAGGTTGTAAGGTGGACCGGGGGTATATGTCGTCCCAGAGGCCACAGTGAGGACTCGGGGGTGGAACTCACAGGAAGCAGATTTTGGCTTAACGCCAAGAAAACTCCTTAAAACCAGGGCTGTCCAATAAAGCAGGGAGCCCCAGGATGTGAAGGGGGCTCCAGGAGAGGCTGGAGATGGGGTTGTGCCAATTCCTGCACCATGGAGGTTTTAGGAACTCCGACATCTCCTCCACTTCAGAGATCTCATCTGTCGGTCTCCAAGCAGACGCTCAGGAAACCAGAGCTCTCGCTCTATTTTTTTTCACTTGGGGGTGAGTGAGTAGGAACAAGGGTGAAGAGAGGACCTCTAGCAGAGATTAAAGTGATAGGAGTGGTGAACGTTTCCATGGACAATCCCAAAGTATTTCAAAATAATGCCTTATCTCTGAAATTGTTGCATTTTTTCCATATCCAGTGCCATTCTTGGGCTGTTCAAGATGCAAGCAGACAGGGTAGGGGATCCCTGGGGAAAGAGAACCAGGTACGGCTTCCTTGATGTAAGAGAAGCCATTTTTGGCTTAAGCCATTTTGTGACCTAAGCCTGGCCACCATGCCTGCCCTTGAACAGGTCCAGTAATTAGTGATCTTAAGGAAATAAAGGAATACAGGAACACAGGAAAAGCTGTCAAGAAACATTAGTTCAGCCATAAAACAGAATCCTCGTCCCTCCTCAAGGAACATAACAGTCTGGCACACATCTTGGAGTTCTGCAGGGACCACAGCCCCCACCCAAGTGGAAGATGGAACGATGCTCTTGACCTTTTCTGACCCTGGGACATCAATCGACTAAAGCTTGGACTCTGTCCACCTTGGCCACAATTCTATGCTGAATTATTCTCTGCTCAAGCCCCTTTATAAATACGCATGTACCTTTAGCTTAAAACTTCCCCAGTTTTGCTGTTCAGGGAGACATTGTTTTGGGAGAAAAAAAAAACCCAGTGTTCTTCTTACCGGCTGCAAGTAATAAACACTTCCTTCTCCCAGTCTTTGCCTTGGTTGTGTCTTTTGGTTCAACACTCGCCAGAAGGTGAAGCCAGTTTTCAGGCAACAAAGATGCAAAGAAAAGCTCACCCTACCCTTAACTAATCAGAAGGATATTTAGCATCTCAGCAGCCACATCGTGACGTCTGCATCTCTGCAATTTCCAGCCTGGACTGGACAGCAGACCTAGTAGAGGCCTGAGACAGTGACTCATTCCAGCTCTGCACACGGCATCTCTGCTTCTCTCTGCATCTCACAGTCAAGCGCCCTGAGCTGAAAGGATCTAAACAGGTAGTCGGCACTATCCAACAAGAAGCCTCCCCACTGGTACCTCTTGTGGGGACACGGATCCCGGATCCCTGGTCCCACTGCTCATAGCAAAGAGAGTGGTGTCCATGTTCAGGGCGCCCCACGGCCTTCCAAGCACAGCAAATTAGCCAAAGAGAACTTCCTGAAACACCCTTCCTGGCTAGAGCTAACTGGCTCAAGGACCACCTGGGACAGCTACCCTAGATGACCCCATCCATAGTCTTTACACCCCACGGGGCGCTGCAATGGAATTCGAGGAGTAAATGGGTCTGTGGAGAGGGGTGTTCTCAAATAAGTGTGACTGCCCTCTGAGAAGGGTGGGATTCTGCATGCGGGTCTTTGGGAAAAGGAAGTTACAGAGAGGGTCTAAGAACCCTGGGAAGTCAATGGCAGAGTCAACTACAGGGTCATGGGTCCAAGCCAGGGATCATCAGAGTCTTAGGACTTGATTCCACCAAGCTAAGCTCTCTGCTCTCCCCCGGCCCAATCCAGCCTCAGTTCCAGTGCTGCCTTGGAGAGCCCTAAGCAGCTAATGTA